AAAAAAAAAAAATCCTCTTTTAAAAGGAGAACCTTTCTAAGTCATTCACAAGCTAGTATGAATTTGTTTGCCCAGATTGCTTCTTTCCACTGCAGCTGATGTCAGCCGAGTTTTAAGCATGGAGCTTCTGAGGGGGTCAGATCCAGGTGAGATCCCGAAGGTAGAGGTTTCGAGCAGCCTTAGAAGGTAGGAGAGAGGCAGTAAGAAGGGCAGGGGTACTGAAAGGGAGGGCACAGATTCCAAGGAGAAATCTGACCTCTTACAGGTTGGCTTCCTTCAGGAAAAGGGGCAGCATGCTTCTCCTTGCTCCTCTTCCTCTTCTTCCTCTGTACCACGCCCACCTCTTTCCTGGGACTCATACCACCAGAAGCAAGTGGCCCAACAACCCCATAAAATGACATTTCTGTAGGGAAATATATCCTGCTTCCCAAACAACTGATTTATGAACGTGCTGTGGGTTGGCTGCTGCACAACCCATTGCTAAGTTGGGGAGCTGCTCTCCACGACCCCTAGCCATCTGTTGCTGGGGCAAATCAGGGTCCGTTGAACACATTTGACATGTGCAGTTGAACACAATTGTGCCCTTTTGTCAAAATATTCGGCTTGGGAAGTGCAAAAGCATGCCTTTTCCATTATTTAAGAAATAAGCAGCCACTCAATCACTCTCTCACTCTCTCTCTCTCTCTGCAGGTCCATTCCAACCGGGGGACATGGTTCCAATGGAAAGCTACTCAGCTGGAAACTTCTCAGAACACGCTCAGGGGCAGGGGACAATCTTATCGGGCACTTTCCTGTTTGGGGCGAGGATAACAGGTGATGTTTGGAGATTGATAAGGCTGATTCAGGAGCACTTGTGCTGTATATAAGGCACTGCTCAGCCTGCCGCTCCACATCTTCCACCCACCTTTCCTTCTCCGGTGGCTCGGGACCCAGGAAGAACCATGAAGTGGCTGCTGCTGTTCAGCTTGGTGGCACTCTCTGAGTGCATCATCAAGTGAGTTGAGGGCTGCGGAGCCAAGAACAGCTTCTGCAGGCCACTCTGGGCTCCCGTGCAACTTCTCACATCGTCTTTCTCTCCTGCTACTTTTCTTCTTTCCTCCCACAACTCCTCCCTCTCTTCATCCGTCCATCTGTCTGTCTGGAGTCTTCCTTTCTTGTCTCTCTCTGCCTCTTGGGGAGACCCTAGAGTGCAGCCAGGGTTGGCTTCCCAGCTCCATCACTAGCCAGGAGGGTGACTTCGGGCAAGTCACTTAACCTCTTCCTCTGTAAACGAGGAGAAAGATAATCATCTGCCTAACGGGATTGCTGGGTGGTGCAAATGGTTTACACTCCACTATTAACCTAAAGGATGGTGGTTCAAACCCACCCAGTGGTGGGTGACCTGGAGATGTGTTCCTGTGATGACTACCGCCGAAAAAACCCTATGGAGCAGTTCGACTCTGACACACATGGGGTTGCCACGAGTTGGGATCGACTTGATGGTGAAGGGGTTTGGGGTAGGGCTTGCTGTGAGGATTGAATCCAGTCTCGGTGCCTGGGAAGCACTTTGCAGAATGCAAAACCTGGGAGCTTTTCCTTGCCTGCTTTCTTTCCTTCTCTTCTGCCCTTGACCTATTTCCTTTTCCTTCTGGGGCATCCAAGGCATCCAGGAGCAGAGTCCTTGCTTAAATGCTCTTCCTCCCTCAAACCATCCATTTGCAACTGCTCTGCCCAGGGTCCCCCTCGTCAGAAAGAAGTCATTGAGAGAGAACCTGAGCGAGCATGGCCTGCTGAAGGACTTCCTAGAGAAGCATAACCTCAACCCAGCCAGCAAGTACTTCCCCAAGGAGGCGGCCACCATGCTGTCCACCCAGCCCCTGGTGAACTACATGGATGTGAGTACATGGGCGACAAGGACTTGGTCAGGACGAATGAGGTGTCCCAAGGCTCTTGGAGGGGAGGCCAGGTCTCTGAGTCTCCCGTTAGTCACTCTGGGAATTCCTCCCTGCATCTCAGTGGCTCAGGGCAGTCAGGAAGGCTCATGGTCGGAGCTGTCGCTGTCACTCCTCATTCATTCATTCATGCGTATTTGTGTGGAGCCTTTTGTTCTGTGTCGCTCTGGGCTGGGCTCAGGGGAGACGCTAGTGACCAAAAGCCAGGCTTAGTCCCTGCTCTCTTGGTTCTCATCGTGCAATAGGAGGAGAGAGACAGTGATCAGTGAGCCAGGCAAACCAGTGGAAAGTACTGAGTGAAGGTCTGGCGCCGTGAGAGGGCGTCATGGCAGTGAGCAGAGAGGCCTTCCTGGAACAGAGCAGGAAAGCAGGAGGTACCAAGAGGAGTGGGGAGAATTCCAGAGAGTGAGACTTGTGCCAAAGCAGGAGGGAGGAGAGAATGTCAGTGTGCGTGAAGAGCAGATGGGCCCCAAGGGGTCCCGGGCCTGACCACAGAAAGCTGAGGAGGCCGAGAGATGGATGGTAGTCTAGGTCCTAATTGCCCCTGAATTATCTTAAATAGGGGGCTTGGCTACTTGGCAACCCCATGGACACTACCCTATACTTCAACAGACACTGTGTCCCCCTCTGTGAATGGCACAGGACCAAGGGTACCACGCCGAGCTACCTGGTGGCCAAGAACCTGGCCTCTGAAATATACCATACCTGGTACACATCTAGGCTCAAATGCTTCTAAGCTATGTGACTTTGGGCAAGTCATGAAGTTCTCTGAGCCTCGGTTTTCTGGTCTGTAAGACAGAACCACTATTGTCTACCAAAGGAGCCTGGTGACACAGTGGTTAAGCACTTGGCTGCCAACTGAAAGGTCAGTGGTTCGAACCCACCAGCTGCTCCATGGGAGAAAAATGTAGCAATCTGCTTGCATAAAGATTATAGCCTTGGAAACCCTATGGGGCAGTTCTACTCTGTCCTATATGGTCACTATGAGTGGGAACCAACTTGAAGGCAATAGGTATTATGAACCTGCAGAGGCTTGATGTGAGTCATTAATGCAATCATGCCTTTAGAGCTCTAGTACAGGGCCTGGCCCTCTGTAAGAGCTTAGTAAACATTAGTTCATGGAGTTATTCAACAAATACTACTATATGCAAGGAATTGAGGTACAATGGTGAATTAGCAAAGCACTTGGAACTTATATGCTAGAGGGGAAGACAAACAAACAAGTGTGTAAAATAATTTGGGGCAGCCTGAGTAGCACAAATGGTTAAGTGCTGGACCACCAGCCCAAAGGTTGGTGGTTCAAACCCTCCTAGAGGCCTGTTGGAAGACAGGCCTTCAGGTCTCCTTCTGAAAGTTCACAGCCTTAAAAATTCTGTGGAGCACACATCTACTGTGCACACTGACAATAGCAATATATCATCTCCAGTGATGACAGGTGCCAAGAAATGAACTAATTGGAGGAAGGGGAAGCAGAGCAGTGAGGAGGGGAGCAGTTTTAGTTTTAGGAAAAGTGATCAGGGAAGGTGTCCTGGGGAGGTGACATTTGTTGATGGCTCTGAATGACTGATAAGAAGGAGTCAGCCAAGGGAAGGTCTAGAGTAAGTATTTTCCAAGCAGGACTGGCAAATGCAAAGAGTCCCTGGCATGGGAGTGAGCTTGTCATCTTCAAAGACCAGTAAGAAGACCAGTGTGGCCGAATCAGAGCTGGCGAAGTGGAGGAGGCCCTGGCTAAGCACAAAAATAATGACCATGCCCTTTCACAAAGCCCATCATAAGCATGTACACTTGGAAATAAGATAGCTGGATGAATTTTCATCTCTCAGTGACTTTTTTTGTGTCCTGATCTTAATGAACAAGAATTTAGGCATCCCTTCTGCCAGCTGTTGTCCCCTGAGAATATGTGGTCTCTAGGATGGCAAGACTGAGCTACACAAGACAATGGCTGAGTAAGGAAAGCAGACTCCTATTAGATGCTACTAACTGAAAGGCTGGTGGTTCTGATCCACCCAAAGGTGCATTGGAAGAAAGGCCTGGTAATCTAGTTCTAAAAAAATAGCCAAAGGAACCCTGTGGAGCACAGTTGTACTCTTACATACACAGGGTTGCCATGACGCAGAATCAAATAGATGGCAAATTTTAAAAAAAATATTAGATGTTAATGGTGTTTGTGGCACATGGGTAGCACGAACAGTTTGCATTGGGCCGCTGAGTGGATTTGAATCCACTCAACAGTACCACCAAAGATAGCCCCGGTGAACTACTTCCATTAAGATGGCAGCTGAGAGAGCACTGCGGTTCTACCCTGTAATATATGGAGTCAAAACTGACTTGATGGAAACTTACAACAAGAGCGGTGCTGGAGGGTAATCAAGGCACAGTCAGAGAAGACTTGGAGGAGGAAAGGAGACCAGGGATGGATCTTAAAAGGTGGCTGCATTGGAGAGGGAGAGAAAGGCAAGAGCAGAGAAGGAAAAGCCGGGGAGGGAGACAAAGGACATGACCTAGACCCAGTCCCTGGGGAGGCCGTCCTCCCGCCCCGGGATGCTGAGTCTCCAGGCCATGAACTGTGCTGTCTTTGCCCCGGCAGATGGAGTACTTCGGCACCATTGGCATCGGAACACCCCCCCAGGATTTCACCGTCATCTTTGACACCGGATCCTCCAACCTGTGGGTGCCCTCAGTCTACTGCTCCAGCCCTGCCTGCTGTGAGTGTCTGGCCCTGCCTGGGCCTGCCCGGGGGGATCCCTGAGCACTTACAGCCTCAATAAGTCTAGCTTTCAAGCCTGGGAAGTCACTCAGGGATTTACCTGAGTGACTGAGTACATACTATGTGCCAGGCACTGGGATTAGATGTCATGGGAGATAAAGGGTGAATGGGACACAGTCTCTACCCTCATGGAGTTTACAGTCCAAAGGCTGAGGGAAGCTCTTCTAAATAATTACAGAAGAAAGGGCAGGGGTCCAAAGCAACAGGGGCTAAAGAGCCAGCTGGGGTGGGAGTCTGGCATGACAACACGCAAACTAGAGATGAGTGATGGTATCAATTGAAAATCAAGCTCGTTTGTAATCGCAAGTGACACACAGGGTTTCAAGTTCCTTCCTCTTGCAATTTGTCAACCTGAGTTAAGAGCAATGCCTACGGAATCTGCCCCCTTCACAGCTGGAACACTGGCTGTCCCCAGTGGGTCTGAAGGCTCATCACCATGGGCCACCCTGGACCCACTCCACTCCATGTTTGTCTGAGTGGTCTTTGGGAGGACTGTGGGGGTGATCGGGGACTTTCTATCAGTGAGATGGTCCCAACTGGTTCAAGAAGACAGGAATAGAACCTGGGGACTCCTGGACTCCAAAGCTCACCTTTCTCCCTCCAAAGCCCCAAGAGCCAAGGCACCCCATCCCAGGACACCTCCCAGATCCATGACCCTCACTTGACTTCTGGAGATTGACCATGTCACTGTTGTCCTTGCAGCCAATCACAATCGCTTCAACCCTCAGGAGTCCTCCACTTACCAGGCCACCAGCCAAACAGTCTCCATCGCCTATGGCACCGGCAGCATGACAGGCATCCTTGGCTATGACACCGTCCAGGTGAGTACCTGCTGGATCACCACCTATCTTGGCCAGCCCTGGGGCTAGCCTCAGGAACCTTGAGGGTCATAGGATGTCCCCCTCAAACCTGCTTCAGGAGGTAGGGAGCTTGGGGCCATGAGCTAAACTTAGTCCCATCCAAGCTAAATGCTATGGGAGTGTGTGTGTGTGTGGGGGGGGAGTAGATGAAGGCTCAGTTCTCTTTTCTCCCACCACGGTCCCCCTAAGTCACAAAAGCAGTACAAGTCACCCCCTCCTCACTGCCAAGGCATATCTGGGGTCAAAATCCCAAGGGTTTGCTTTGCATCTGTTTATGAGACACATAAATGTTCAGAGACTATCTGCTCCATAGGGAAACCTCACACCCAGTCACGGACTGTGGCCATCTGGAGACCAGCTGCAATGGTTATCTGCAGCCGAACAAGCATTCCAGGGGAAAATCCCTCTTCCTACTCCCAGCCCCAAGTCTAAAGAAGGGACCTTGTAGCCAGGCAAGCCCAGGAGCCGAGTCTACCACGGGATGAACTGGGGACGCTCTGGGCCTATGGCCAGCACTCAGCTCTGTGAATGCAAGCTGACCATGAATACCTTGGTTCCCACACTCAGGTTGGAGGCATCGCTGACACCAACCAGATCTTTGGCCTGAGCGAAACAGAGCCTGGCTCCTTTCTGTACTACTCTCCCTTTGATGGCATCCTGGGTCTGGCCTACCCCAACATTGCTTCCTCTGGGGCCACACCTGTCTTTGACAACATGTGGAACCAGGGCCTGGTGTCCCAGGACCTCTTCTCCGTCTACCTGAGTTCGTAAGTTGGGTAGGGAGTGGCCTCGTGAGAGGTCATGGTCACCTGGTGCAGCAGGGAGTAGTTCAAAGCCAAGCAGGGTCAATGTCAATGGCTATAGAGGTCATGCTGCCAAATCTCCATCTGATGAACTGTAGGCATTATGTCTTGTTTTACCAGCCTGAGTCTTTCTCACCTTGACTCACCGACTCACACATCATTTTGCCATTTGCTCTCTAGCACAAATTCCCTCATCTCTGACCTCCCTCAAAAAACACCAGTTGCCATTGAGTCAATTCTGACTCGTGGCGACCCATGTGTGCCAGCGTAGAACTGGGCCCCATAGGGTTTTCAATGACTTGACATTTTTGGAAGTAGATCACTAAGCCTTTCTTCCAAGGCCACCCTGGGCGGACTCTAACCTCCAACCTTTTGGTTGGCAGTTGAATGCATTAACCCTTTGCACCACCCAAGGACTCCCATCATTGACCTCCAAAGAGTCCACTTAAAGTGAATCCACTTACCATACCAACCCACCACCATCGAGTCAATGCCGACTCATAGTGATGCTATAGGACAGAATAGAACTGCCCCATAGGGTTTCCAAGGCCGTAAGTCTTTACCGAAGCAGCCTGCCTCATCTTTGTCCCACGGAGCAGCTGTTGGGCTCTATCTGCTGACCTTTTGGTTGGCAACCAGCTGCTTTCACCGCTGTGCCACCAGAGCTCCCCTGCTTAACATAGGGTCCAAAATTTCATAGCAAAAAGTACAAAGATTTGCTTGGGACTCACATCTTGAGAATGAAACTAAAAAATGACAAAAACAAATTTCATTGTTTATTACTTTTGGACAATCTACTTCTGTAGAGATACAGCATCGGAAACCCAAGGAGGGGTCACTATGAGTAGAGTGTCCTTGACGGCAGTGAGTTTTCTTGGAGCAAGATATAGACTCCAGTTGAGACTATGAGCTATCTTTAAGAATGAACAAGAGATCGGCCAGGTGTTGGTTTGGGTTTGGCAGAGTTTTTCCTAACAAAATGAGGTGACAGATGTAAGAACTGTCCTTCTCGTTCTTGATCTTCTCAGCATGACCATGACAAGAATCGGTGTTGACCAGAATGTCTGAGGACATCATCAACATCCCAAAGGCCTTTCTCAATCCCCATCATTCACATCATTCTCTTGGGAAATGATTGTGCTGCCATTGATATTTTTCTTCTTCAGTTGTTGGTTCTTCTAACTCTGCCAGATCCCCCATTGTATGGTCATATTTTCACAGCAACGATGGGGTGGGACTAAGTGCATGGGGTCATGTTTTATAAGTGGCAAGTCCTTTGGTGATTAACTTCTTATTACCAAGTATATTTGCTTCCCTATCGAAGCTGGAACTCCAGAGATTTAGAAAATAATTATCCCTGCAACTCACAGCATGAAGGTCCTTTCATCCTACACTTTTCTCTTTGTCATTTAATATTCAAGTTGGCTCTTAAACATAACAAGCCTTTCTGAGTACTTACATGTTTCATGGGGAGTCACTTATCCCTCTAAGTAGACCAGGGCTTTCCAATCTCACCACTACTGACACTTAGGGCAGATACTTCTGTGTTGTGGGAGGCTGTTTACCACCATCCCTGCCTTCCACCCACTAAATGCCAGTAGCTCTCCCTTCCCTAAACTGGTCTTGACAATCAAAAATATCTCTAGACATTGGAAAATGTCTCCTGGGGAAAAAATTGTGAACTGCACCATAAAGTCCTTAAGAGCAAACACTGTTGTATATTCAACTGTGTTCCCTATGGTAACTACAGTGACTATTGTCATGGGAACCACACACTTTAGAACCAGAAAGGATTGGGTTCTAATCTCACTTCTGTCACTCCCCAGTTGTGTGACTTTGAGCAAGTTGCCTAACCTCTCTGATCCTCATTTTCCTTATCTGCGAAGTGGAACTGGTGCTGTTGTTGTTGTTGTTATGTGCCCTCGAGTTGAATCCGACTCATAGCAACCCCTCCTTGGGTTTCTGAGGCAGTATCACTACCGAAGTAGATTGCCCAACCTTCCTTCCGAGGAGTGGCTGGTGGGTTTGAACTGCCAGCCTTCTGGTGAGCAGTCAAATGCCTTAGGCACTATGCCACCACTAATAATGACTATCCCACTGGCCTCAATAGAAGGATTAAAAGAAACCATGTCTGTCACACAAGCAGCACAGCTCCTGGCATTGGTTAAAGCCCAACAAAAGGTAGCTTTCAGGATGCATATGTTAGATGTCCAGTCACTGCTTGTTGAAAGAATGATTAAGCAACTTCCTGTCTTCTTCCACCTTTTCCGTAGCGATGACCAGAGTGGCAGCGTGGTGATGTTTGGTGGCATCGATTCTTCTTACTACACTGGAAACCTCAACTGGATCCCCCTTTCTTCTGAGGGTTACTGGCAGATCACTGTGGACAGGTGAGATCGCTGGGGTGGGGAGCACCCTGACGTGGGCCCCAGCTCCCCTGTCTTTATGGATTCAGAGCCAACTCGCTTTCCAGGATACCCCTGGAATAGCCGGCACAGGGAAAGTCAGTCTGGGAAGGAGAAGGTGGTCTCTGGGAGAAACTCTGAGCATAAGGCTGTCCGGACACCCCAGGCACTCTATGAGGATGAGATAGACCCCTCCTTCTGGGCAAGGAGGCAGGATCATCTGCTGGCATTGTGAGGAGAGCTGGAGGACCCAGCCCGTCCACGCATCTCACATTCCGGGGACCTGTGGACTGGCACACACTCCTCCCTCTCTAGCAAATGTGTCACTTTCAGTCTAGGGAGAAGCAGCATGATTGGGAAGTTGTTTCAGGTCACTTTTTCCCAACCCTCCCCTCCATGGCCTCACTCCTGCCCCCATCTAGCCCCATTGCCCAGCTGTTCTCACCCCTGCTTATTAGATGCAAGAGTGACCAGTTGTCCGGGTTTGCCCAGGCCTGGGTACTAAATCAAGACAGTCCCAGGCAAAATGGGACAAGCTAGTCACTCTGTGCCCCAACTATGCTGACTCTTCATCTGTTCCTCCAGCTCCCACCCCTGCTCCTCTTGTCTCCACCATTCCCTGCATGCCAACTCCTCTGCCTGCAGGCCTGCCTCCTCTGGTCCTCTCCACCCCATCTCCTAAGCCACCCTTGGGTCTTTGCTTCTCTGAATAGCTTGGCCAGGTTCCTCCCCTCCCTCCCCACCCTCGTTGTGTTCCTGGCCCTGCCCAGCTGGCTCTCTCTGTCACAGAGCTGGACTGGGAGCTCCGTGCAGTCAGACGCTATCTTGTTTATCTTTGCACTGCCTGTCACTGGTATAGAGTAGACACTCAATAAATATTTCTTGAATAAACAAATGCATGAAAGGATGAGTGTGTGAATGAAAGAAACCATGAAATGTCATATATTGGGGAGGGTTTTTAGATGGAGAAGAGGGAGCCTCCGGGGTCCTCTGGTTCCTCCTGGGGGGGATGTACACCCCGGAGGCTCAAGGGACCCTCACTTGCATCTTCCCCTCAGCATCACCATGAATGGAGAGTACATCGCTTGTAGCGAGAGCTGTCAGGCCATTGTTGACACTGGCACCTCTCTGCTGTCTGGCCCAACCAATGCCATTGCCAACATCCAGAGCTACATCGGAGCCAGCGAGAACACAAATGGCCAGGTAAGTCCTTGACTGCCTTCTTCTGTTCCCAAGTGGTGGGTCCACCATGCAGAGAGAATGAGAGCCTTCTAACCCTCCCACCCCTTGCTCTTTCCAGATGGCGATCAGCTGCTCAGCCATCAACAACCTTCCCGACATTGTCTTCACCATCAACGGTATCCAGTATCCTCTGCCCCCTAGTGCCTACATCCTGCAGGTAAGGGGGCTCTGGGCCACCTCCTAGTTGTGCCCACCCAGAATGTGGCCACATATTCAGCTTTTGCACAAGGGAAATGCACATCTAGAAGCTGAAGCCAAGAGGCAAACTTCCATCTGCTGTGGGCAGCCTTCAGAATGAATAATTTCTTAAAAATAAAAGGCATGGATGAGAGTTCAGATACAGTCCCCCAAGGAAAACGTGAGGCAGAGGATGGTGGTGTTGAAAAAGACTTTTGAGTTGGACATCTGAGTCCAAGCACTGGGTCTCAGTTGGTAGCCCACTGATTCTGGGCAAGGTCGAACCTCTCTGAACCTGTTTCTTCATCTATAACCTAGAGATGTCGACTTTCCCCACTCTCAGGTTGCGGCTGGGGTAATCAAGTGAAAGTGACCCCCATAAAGCTACAAAAGGGTAGGAAAATGGAAGTCATACTTCCATAGAGTCAAGACCTAAGACTCTCCTCCAAAACCAAAGCCATTGCTGATGAGTCTAATCTGACTCATTGTGACCCTAATAGGACAGAGTAGAACTGCCCCATACCATTTTCAAGGCTGGAAATCTTTATGGAAGCAGACTGTCACATCTTTCTCCCACAGAGCAGCTGGTGGGTTCAAACCACCGGCCTTTCTGTTGGCAAGCCGAGCACATAACCACTGCACCATGAGGGTTTCCTAGCACCTTCCTACTGTCTCTTTTTCCAGTTTCAAAGCTCCCCAGGTGATCCCCATGTGCAGCCAAGGTTGCAACCCAGTGACCGAGGGAATTAGCCGAACTCAGCTGGTCTGCTTTGCCACTGGGTGGGATCAGGATAATGAGAAGAGGCTGTTCACCAGGGTTTCCAAAAATCCCCCCAGCAGCTGAGTTCCGCCTAAGCCCCTTAGCTCAGATGCTGATGTCACGGCTCATGTGTCTGCCAGAAATACCGGATAGTGTCCAGTAATCCCTGGGAGCCAATAGTGTGGTGAACAGCTTACACAGGCAGAGGCCAGGCCAAGAACAGCAGAGTCCCTGGACGCACAGCTAGGAAGCTCCGCCTTGCACGTGCCTTGCAGCCGGACCACGGCACACTTGATTTTATTCCCCAGTGCCTGTCACTGTTGGGTCTGTGTCCTATCTCCGGTTTCATTCTTCTTTCTTGCAGCAACAGCAGGGCTGCGTCAGTGGCTTCCAGGGCATGAACATCCCCACCTCCACCGGGGAGCTCTGGATCCTGGGTGATGTCTTCATCCGTCAGTACTTTGCCGTCTTCGACAGGGCCAACAATCAGGTCGGCCTGGCCCCCGTAGCTTAAGCAGGAGTCCTTCCAGCCACCTCCCAGGAAGCTCTGGCCTCAATTCTGTGCCCACTGTAGTTGTATGTCATTGTCCCGGGTGTCTTCCAATGGAACTGTGGAGTCTTGGCCCCATTCCCTACCATGCCAATAATGTAGAATAAAAAGATAACTACCTAAAAAAAACATTCTCTGGAGTTCCTTCTCTTTGCTGGTATTTCTCTTTGATGTCACCAGAGTCAGGACACCAGGGCAGGGGAGCAGAAATGACCATGTCTTCTTGGACAGTGTCTAACACAGTGACACGGGCAGCAGACACTTTCTACTGGAGCCAGGAAGACAAATGAGGCTCAGAATGGGAGCAGCAATGCTGGGCCCAGTGTCTCCCCATAGAATAGGGCACCTAAGCTCTTGGTTGAGGAGGTTGAGTTCTAATTTCCCCCAAATCCCTGATGATGAGGAACAGACCACCTTCTGGCCACTGATGATGGTGTTTCTAAGTAAGCAGGACAAGGTAGTGTTGTCCATCAGATATGGGCAGGGAGATGACAGAAGCTGACAGCCCATAGTCTACCCGGCTGCAGTTGGTGCTGAGCTCATTGATGGAGGCCAACAACTAAGGACCCTCCAGCGTCACTACGTGTCCATTGGGGTGTCGTACTGTGGTGGCTTGAGTGTCACTGTGGTTCTGGAAGCTACACCACTGGTATTTCAAACACCAGCAGGGTCACCTATGGCGGACAGGTTTCAGTGGTGCTTCCAGACTAAGACAGACTAGGAAGAAATTAGCCAGTGAAAACCGCATGGATCACAAAGAACATTGTCCAACATAGTGCTGGAAGATGAGCCCCTCAACTCAGAAGACACTACAAAGAACCACATCAATAGACTCAACAATCACAAAGACGGCACAGGACCAGGCAAGATTTCGTTTTGCTATAAAAAGGGTCACCATGAGTCGGTACCTCGATGACAACTAACAACACCCAACACTCTGGTGGTGTTTCAGACCCATTTCCATCTGAAATTTAACCAGGACGGTTATCCATTTCCCCAAGCAGAGGTTGGAAGAGAACACTGAGCATTTTCACCCTGAAAATGCAAACAAGGAGTATTTAGAACAGTGTTTTCTCCGAGTGGGTTTGTAGCAATATGTTCAGTGAAAACCAAAGTTTGCAAGTCAGTGTGGAACAAATTCTATTCCGAGCCCTTCTTGGAGGTTCGCAAAGCACGTTTCCCCCATCAAGTCCCCTGAGAAGTCCGGCCACAAAGTGGCCTGTTTCACTTTAACTCAGCTTAGCGTGGTCCCAGTTCTTTGCTCATAAACCTATCAGACAGTCCTGAGCTCGCTTCTCAGCACACACATGGGAAAAATTCCTCCCACGGCTCCTGCCTCTTTGGACAGCTGGGTCCCAGGCTGTTGGCTGGAGACACTAGCCCTGGACTGCAGCAGGGCCTCCTGCTGAGAGAGAGTGGTCTGGAAGTGCCCAGACCAAGACGGCTTTAGAGACCCTCTGGTCACATTGCTCCCCGATTTGTAATTTATCACTCACACAAATGTAAGATGTTGGGCTCCAGGAAGGTAGGGTGCTTGGCCAACCCATGCCTGAGTCTCCTCAGTGTTGCTTGTACCCCTCTAAGCCATTTTCTGTAGCTGAATGATCTTTTTGAAATAAATTTGATCCCCAGGTGGTGCGATGAACGCTGTCAGCTGCTAACCAGAAGGTTGGAGGTCCAAGGCCACCCAGAGGTGCCTTGGAAAAATGGCCGGACAATCAACTTCTTAAAAAAAAAAATGGCCATTGAAAACCCTGTGGAGCACAGGTCTACTGTGACGTATCTGGGGTTGCCATGAGTCAGAATCAACTTGATGGCAAAACCAAAATCCAAAACTTTTACTGTTCATTCCGGTTCCTGGTGATGCTACGTGTTACAGAGAGGAACTGGTCTGTAGGGTTTTCTTGGCTTTAATCTCTGCAGAGGCAGATCGGCAGGCCTTTCTTCCGTGGTGCCACTGGGTCGAGCCACCAACACTGAGTGAGGTTCACTCACTGCCATCGAGTCAGATCTGACTCATAGAGACCCCTCCTTGGGTTTCTGAGGCGTTATCACTACGGACGTAGATTGCCCAAGCTTCCTTCCGAGGAGTGGCTGGTGGGTTTGAACCTCCTGCCTTCTGGTTAGCAGTCAAGTACCTTAGGCACTATGCTACCAGTTCCTAACATTTAGTTTAATAAACCAAAAAACAAACCCACTGCCACCAAGTCAATTCCAACTCATAGTCTCATAGACTCATGGGGACTCCATTGGGTTTCTGAGGCAGTAAATCTTTATGGAGATAGATGACCCTGTCTTCCTTCTGCAGAGTGGGTGGTGGGTCTGAACTCCCAACCTTCTGGTTAGCATCAAATACCTTAGGCATTGCACCACCAGAGCTCCCTTTTCAGGTTAATAATCAAGTATAGATCACATTACCCAGGGATCTATGGTAATAACTCCCTCACTTAAGGCCTCTAGTGAATGTCTTGCAATTGCACTTAGAATAAACAACAAATCATTAGTCTTGGCTTCCAGGCCTGCGGGCTCCGGTCCCTAGCTACTTTCCCTGCTTCGCCTTGATCGGCCTCACCCTGAGCTCCAGCCACTCTGTGCTTCTTCCACCTCTGGCAATACCTCAGGTCCTTTCCCACCTCCAGGCCTTGGCACACACTGCTCCTGCCCCTTTTCCTTGACCTCACCAGCGCCTAGCATCCTGCAGAACTCAGCTTAGACATCACTGCCCTGAGAAGCCTTCCCTAACCACTGCCTCGTAGAGCCTGGCCCTTCTCCTTCATGGCTCTCGGCACACCGCAGAATTGCACATTTATGCACATGTGTGTTACCTGTGCGTCTTTCGCACTAGACAGCCAAGGATCCACAGGATCGGGACTGTGATCATGTTTGACTGTTGAAGCCCCAGCGACAAGAGCAGGGCCTGGAACACAGTAGGTGCTCAGTCAATAGCTGTTGAATGAGAGATGGCTTTTTAATCGGAAACAAGGGAGGATGAGGGATTGTATATGATTTGACTAAGGCTGTGCCTAAGACAACAGACAGGCCTGCTCCCATCCCCACAGGCTTTCTATCCCCATCTGATGGTTGTAAGACAAGCAGGTGGGCTTCTCAGGCTTCTAGGGAAAGATGTCACTGTGTCCTGGCTCCTTTGTTCTCATTTACTTGACACTTCCCGAGCACCTACTGCGAGCCAGGCAGTGCACTCAGCTCTGGGGAGGCAGGCAGGGGCTTCCTGGATGTCTCCTTCCTCCACTCCTGGCCCCATCCTGCCTTCCTCCCCCCACTCAGCCCCAACAGCTGCAGCTCAGCCGCTCTCCCAGCCCCTCTTCCGGTCCCTCACCCTGGGATTGCTGGATCCAGGCAGAGTCTAGAGAGATTCCCCATCTGACAGGCGCTTCAGACTGGACAGCTCTGTGCTGACATATCTGATCTGACACTTGCTCACTTCTCATCAGAAGACAAGGTGGATTCATATCCCTCTTGTATACTCTCGGCCTCTTCATTTCTCTTCATTTCCCGAGGGCCTCAGGGGTCCAAGCACAGTGCAATCCATCCTCTTCCTTCCACTGGTCCAGGAGTGTTATTTCCATCTCCTGGGTCTCTGCTCCACTCGTCTACGAAAACCAAACCCTCCCCAAGGGGGACTCTCACACATTGCTGGTGGGAGGAGGAACTGGTCTAACCCCTAAGGGGGGCGTCTTGGCAATGTCTATGAAAATTAGAAATGCATATAGCTTTTGGCCCAGAGATTTCACTTCTGGGAATTTGTCTTTAAGAGACACTTGCACACGTGCAAGATGATGTAAGCATGAGGTTGTTCTTTGCACCACGGCTTGCGGTTGCAAGATTTGAAGTGACTCAAATGTCCATCCACAGGGGGTGGTTAAACCGCTCCAGGTACATTCACACAAGGAGTCACCCTGCAGCTGGATGGAGTCTGCTGTCTAGGTGCTGAGACGGAGTGATCTTGACAATAGGTCGTTCATGAAGAAGAAGGAGGGGGAACAAAAAAGGCCAGGTGCACAACAGGGCCTCTACTGTGCTATCTTTGGATGATAAAGAAATTTTTAAAAATAATAACATTTGCTTCTATTAGCATAAAGGAACTCTGGAAGGACACCCAAGAAGAGAGAAGAGCAGGAAGTGGGTCGGTGGGGGCAGGGGAGACTTCCTGCAGGATACAATCTCACATGTCTTCGTTTTTAATGATGTGGATGGATTACATGTTCCAAATCAGTTAATGAAAAGTACTTACGGGTTTATCCTAATTGGAAACCCACTGAGATTGGTCTTTAGGTCCACTCATCTAGTAACCTCCAAAATCAGGTCTCTTGAAACTGGTCTCATCATTTGACCCTTTGAGAACTTCTCAAGTGCGATGAAATAGACACTGGATGGTGCCCGGCCACCATTACTAAAAGAATCCTGATCAAAAGTGGGGAGCCAAGGCATAACAATTGGTCTCTATTCACCTAGAGCAACACAGGAAGAAGGGAAGTTAGGAATAGGAGGAGGAAATGGATGTGTGGCTATTTGCCTCCATGACCAGTCAAGACCAGAAGAAATGGATGATGCCTGGCTACCATTACTGAGCAATTTTGATCAAAGTTTCCACAGAAGAATCCTGATCAAAAGGGGGAAAATGTAAAACAGAATTCATATTCTTCTATTGCCCTGAGATAATCTTTAAATCTTCAACCAAAAATATCCCCTGAGGGGGACCAGGTTTGCTGGTCCAATAGAGCCTGGTGGAACCACTGAGACCATGGCCCCTAGCTGCCCTTCAGGTCTGGAATTGGACCCATGCCTGTGGCTTCCAGCCAAACAATAGACAGGCATATGAGGTGAACATTTACCTGAGGTAGATACACTCCTTGGAGAGAAGAATCATGGGAGAAAGAAGGGCTGCTTATGCACAGGGAGACAGTTCAGGGGCCAGGAGTGCATGGAGGGATGGACACAGGGAAGAGGTAACTATGGGGAGGAAGTGTGAGGGGAGCTGTTGTAATTGTGGTCAATGTCATGAGACAAAGTATATGTATGCTGTATGGAAAGTGAATTTGCTCTGTAATTTTCACCCAAATTACAATAAAAATATATATGTGTGTATATGTATATA